ATCTAGCAGTTAATTGGAAAGATTCTCACCCTGACTAACTATATATACAGATACCTATGAACTAACCTACTGCACTGCAGATGGTAATTTGTCATAGTAGTTTCTTGTTTGGAGTACCTGTCATTCTGGTATTCTGAATATAAGCTGTTTGTCATGACATGCCAGTTGCTGCTATGATGTCTCTCGGGTAGGTGGATGTTCAAGAAGTAGGGGGTGGTGAATGAAAGCAAGAGACAGGAAAAGGTATATTGTGGGACTGTCCTGTTTCAAGGTTGTATATGGTGAGATATTTGGACATATGTGCAAACATGAGAGATATATAATTCTTTATGCCTATTTTTAAAATATATTCTAATTTTTAAACGTTTTTTATCATATTCTTTAGGTACTTAAAGTTCAACATATCAGTACTTGATGAAAAATACCTGTTCCATATTATGTCTAAGATGTTTAATATGCAGACAGATAGTGAGGTAAACTTGACAGCCTAAGTTGTTTGATAATAACAATAAGCTTGTCTTCGGGATGGTTAACAACCTAAGTTTGTAGACCAAAATTAGAGAAAAAGGAGGGCTGCAAGGAAAGCCAACATTTTGGCCCTAGCCTTCTAAGGTCAATTAAGCCTCAGGACATATGAGAACTTGTACTGTGACTTCATGTAATTCGGTAGTGTCCCAAATTTTCTGATCAAGGAGATTATGGGGCCAAGAGGAAAGTGATCGATGATGTAGAGTGTGTCTAAGGAGCGTCACATGGAGTGAAAACATTCTCTCAGGCTTTCACAGAGAGCACATTGGCCAAGCAATGGCCGTGAGTCATCCACATGGCTGACACTGATAAAGGATCTACAATCTGAGGTACAGGATCTGAAGATAAATCCTGAGGGGATTTCACTGACCTTATCAGAACCAAAAGCTACAACTCTTGTTGCATAGGTCCTGCTTTACCTTGGTCTTAACCATCCAATAGGAAAGTATAAAAACAAAATATAAGAGGTAAAGCCATGCTGTTATGTTGAGCTGTGGGGGACTCAGGTCAACAATTTCTGACATTGTCATTTAAATGGAAGCCCCAGTACTATTATGGGCTACTGGACTGTTTTAGAATATTTTGCTGAGTTTACACATCAATAATATTCAAATAACAGAACTTAAGAAAAAAAGGGTATACAGATGAATGTCCATTTTGTATCTGTGTATTCAAAGTTGTTAGGATGGATACATAGTTACATTCTCTTAATGAATAGAATGATTTGTTCTAATGGTGTTTGTAAATCGAATATCAAGTCCACTTCTTATATAGCAGTTAACCACTAAGAAGAATGTATACAGTGTGATAATTATTGAAACTGCCCTACCGATTTGATTTGAAACCGTCTCATTTCTATCTGTTTATCAATAAAATTATGACAAAAAATAAAATAATAAAAAATTAAATGGTTAGGATAGATATAATGCTACATTCTCTTAATTCAAGGAATAGAGGCTTTTGTTTTAATACTGTTTGTAAATAGGATATCATGTCTGCACCTTGTATAACAAATAACCACAGGAAAAGGAGCATGCAATGTGTTAATTATTGGAACCTCAATTTGATTTGAAGCTGTCTCATTACTATTTATTTCTCAATAAAATTATGGAAAAATAAATAAAGTTTTTCAAAATAAAAAAATATATACTAAGTCATTCTAAAGTACCAATATTCATGAGCCTTGCATTATAAAAGTCTCATTTATCTCTAGTGCAGTAGAAACTTGAAAAACACAGAGGGAATTCATAGCAATGCATGCATGGAATCATAAAAAGAAATGTTTCTGAAGATTGACATCCATCAGTGTGGTTGTATCTTGAACTCCTCATTTAAATAGTCCAATAATTCTTTTGCATAAGTTGACTTCAAAAGTTCACATAACATATAAAGTTTGTACAAATGTATAAAAACCTAATTCCAGCGACCAGGGAGATGGCTCAGTAGAAAAAGCGCTTGCCTGGCAAGCACTGGGCCTGCGTTCAATTCCTGGTTCCACCCCCCCCAAAAAAAGAAAAACACTAATTCCATCAACCATAAAATTGACAACCATGAAAACAGCTGAAGTTAGGTAGAACAGATGTTGAAATTTGCCTACCTTCATGGGCAATGGGAAATGAATAAGATAGAGGTCCACATAGTCAAATTGAAGTTTTTTCAATGACCGTTCTAAGCAAGATTGAACCAATTCTGGTCGATGGAAGGTGCCCCAAAGCTAGAGATGTTAAAAACAAAAACTTTTATAGATAAACACATTAACTAATGTTACTGATTTCATTTCACTAAAATTGAAGAAATTTTCATTTGGCTAAAAACTGAGGCTCACAGAGGAAATATCTTAGTTTCTATCCTGAATTTCTCTATATCTCATCTATTCATGTAAACTCTGTTAAATGTTCATTTGGTAATAGGAAACATAATGAATAAAGGAA